GGGGAGGGGGCCGCAGGGGACTGCGCCGAGGGAGGGCGGCTCTGGCGGGGGAAGTGACCGCGGAGAGTGGGGGGGCGAGTGACATCAGCCCCTCGGCTGGGCTTGCGGCGGCAAAGGTGGTGCAGTGGGGGGGAGGGGGCGCGGGCGAGTCGTGGCGCCCGAGGGGGAGGGAGTGCGGCGGCCGCTGGGCGCGACCCCGGTGCGTTTTGGACTGTGTGCGCGCTGGCCGGGCTGTGGAGGGGGACTCAAGGAGAATCAAAGAAAATTAGGAAAAGCAGAGAAGGGAGGCAAAAAAAAAAAAAAAAAAGAGTTACTACGCAAAGTGCCCAGTGAAGCCAAATGACACGTCATTTTTACAGTATGACCTTTTTTCCCCCTTCCAGATATGCAGGCTTTTTGAAAAGCAAAGAAGATAATTAATTGTAGCAGCTGCCCCCCCCCCAGCTGCTCCCTTCTTGCAACCAGTAGCGCGCGCACGCTCACACACACACACACACACCACACACACACATTTTGTGTTAGTTGCCACATTGAATGCTTTGTGGGGAAAAAGGGATAAAAAAGACATTCGCAAATCAGAGAAAACTGAGAAAATGACATTTGTCTGTAAATGGCTTCTTGGTCTGGAAATGGCGTGGGGTTTTTTGTTTTGTGTGTGTGTGTGTGTGTCCTTTGCAAGGTGGGAGGGGGATTAAGAGCGTTTTCAGAGGAAGACTTTTTTTTTCCAGGTGGAAGGAGATAGACATAAATTAGTTGTTTAGGGTGTTTCTCCTCTTTCTTTGCCGTTTTTTTAATTTGGCAAATAAAAAAAGGGGGGGTTGAATATGAGATGATAGCCTTTCCCCCCCCTTTTTTTTTCTTTAGAGATTTTACTTGGTCGAGAAAATGAAAGAAATATGAAAAACAGTTAAATTAGCAAGAGAATTACACAGACAATTAGAATGAAATTTTCACTTGCAAATTTGGCCAGCTGACTAAATTTACTAATTTGCTAGGTTAACACCTAGTTTGGTATCCACATTTCAACCAAAACCAGCTTGGTTTTGATGAATCAAATGTAAAAGACCCATTCCCTTTGTGCTGGTGTTTGGTTTGGTGTCTGTTTTGGGGGACGGGTCAGGGTCAGGCCTTTGTTCTCCTGGGTCCAGATGTATACAAAGCAAAAAAATTAATGAAGTGAAAAATAAATCTCTGGTGTTTTTTTAATTTTCAGTTTTAATAATGAAATGGTGCATATGTTGAAGTCTTACATTAAACTTCTAGAGGTTGGATTTTGTCCTGTAAATATTAATCTGCGTATAGTAATTTGATTTCAAAGCGCAAACCTGGAAAAGTCTAGAATCCTTCCTATGAAGGCTGTCTTGCTGTCTGAATTTGGATTTAAGTCAAGTGTAATGCTGATGGTACCTGAAATTTCTAACACCTTTTGTGCAGTTATCACAAAGTTCTCACTTAAGTGAGATTGTTAATCTGAACACAACCTTGCATAATTGTGTGTGTGTGGGGGGGGGGAGGTATGTTCTAGTCTCTATGGCTAAATCCAGTCACAGTTGATTAATAACCTCTACCACGGGGATTGAACCCTATGCCAGAGACATAATTTGCATTTTTAAGTGGTATCTCTCACTAAATAATGCTCCCCCCAAAGAGGAAAAATAATAAATACCTGAAACCTCTTTTTCCTCAATATAAAATGATATGAGAATTAAGCAAAACGTAGAAGCACAAAAGCTGTTACTGTTTCCCCCACCCCAATTCTCTAATCTCTTCTGTGTGGAAACTGAGGCACAGAACTCTTTTGCCTCTGAGTGAACCATGTTACATATTTGAGCATTATGAAATGAAGTCATTGGAGAACCTGATTGATATTATTTATAAATTCATTCTAATAGTGCCTTTTTCTATTTTAATTTCCTGTGTTAGGCTCATTAAGAAAAGGGTGTTAGCTTTGAAATCAATGTTTTTGTGGAAACTAATGTTAGCTTTTACACATCTTGGTCACAGCCTTGTGAAAAAGCAAGCTGAGGGAGGAATGCCTTGCTATCTGAGCAGCAAAACAATGCAAAGTGCAAAAGAAAGGAAAAAGGGGGGCAGTCCAAACAGGTTTGGGGGGTACTCTGTACGCATAGGAATGGTTTGATGGAGTGTGCACTTGGGAAAAGAAAAGCAACAACCAACCTCCCTTCTTGCTTGGTGAAAATGTGGGGGTGTCCCCCCCCATAAAATGTATTTTTGCAAATGAAAGGTGATTTAAAATGGAGGGCATGTGTTCCTTTTTTACTGGTTTAGCTGGGATTGGTTTGGGGTCTTTGCAATTCAGTGGTTCCCAGGATTATTTGTCCTTCCAATTCAAGTCCTGCCCTATTCTCCCCAGGAAAGCTGCTGCAGGTTGCTTAATGGTAATACGGTTTTCCTCAAGCAGTCTGTTTGAGATTAAAATGTGTTTTTTAAGAAGATGACAGATAATTGAAGGTCTTCCATTTTCCCCTGCAACATGGTTGTTGTACTCAGAAATGTATCTTAGATACTGGGGGTGTGTGTGTGGGGGGTGTGGATAAGATGTAATACTGCAGTTTTAGGGGTGGCTTTTAAAGTAACCCAAGGGGAGGGAAATCTGTGGGGGGAGATGCTGCATACTGAGCATCTTTGGCGGGGGGGAAATGGTGTATTGGTTCATGTTCTGGGGGAGACTGTAGAGGCTGGGCATTGTTTGTGATTCCTGGGTATTTTAACCATGAAACAGCTGACAAACAACGAATTATGTGGCATGTCCACCTCATGTGTGTCTGAAACAGTGACTGCCCACATTTCTAAGGATTCCATTTCACTGTTTTAACTTCTAAGCCCCCCCCCATGACAAAATTGCGTCATTCCTTCGCCATCCCGCAATTTAAAAAAAAAAAACAAAAAACAAAAAAAACCCTGAAAAACCAGCAAAACCTTTAATTCTTGTTTGTTGTTCTGATGGTGAAATACTGCAGGTAGACACAGAGGTGGGATGTTGCTGTCCTTTTCTCTGCGTCGAAATGTCAAAAATTGCAACTCTTTGTGTGTGTGTATGTTTGTGTGTCGCTTCTATGGAAAAAGCAAGCAGCAGCAAGCAAGCAGCAGCAAACCCTCTCCCTGCCCAAAGTCTGTAAAACCTCCTTCATAACCTGAGACTTACTTTCATTTTCCAGGTGCCGGAGAATCTGGTAAAAGCACCATTGTGAAGCAAATGAGGATCCTGCATGTTAATGGGTTTAATGGAGAGTAAGTGTCAAATCTGGCCCAGAGAAACCAGTAACACATTTTGTAATTACTAACCTTTAGGAAGTCTAGGTAGGTTTTGGGGGTTGGCATGCCAGCTCTCCCTGTATGGTTCCGACTACATATTAAAAACCCTGGGCCGAGCTTGCTAGGGTCTCTCCTCCCCACCTCTTTTTCATCTTTGGTGCAACATATTACAAAATATATGTATATTTTAAGCACCAATGTTGTTGTCAAATGGGGCCCTTTCCAAGGAAAACAGCGCTTGGTTGCAGTGGACAGTCAACAACACTTGGCCCTGTGACAGTGTCCCCGGCCAGGTCCCGCTGCAGACCTGCTCTCCCAACATGGCTGACCACTGCCGAGCTCTAACACAATTAGGGAAACATTGTTTCAGTAATATTAATCACCACATAACAAAGTTGGAAGTGACAGCCACCTTTAACAAATCTGCTTTTTGCTTCCCCCCCTCCCCCCCAAGATTAACATTACAGGCAAATCCTTGTCTCTCTCTTAAAAAAAAAAAACAAAAAAAACTCAACACTCTTGCCTCAGAGAAATTAAAGGACACATGGCAGTGATGGAAAAACTGGAAATAAGATATTTCTAACCTGTCAAAGGGCATTTTTGTCCTTGAAAAAGCCCTTCCAGGCATCGAGAGGCAACACTGTTACAGTACTGCAGTGAGGAGAAAGATTGGTGGGGGTTTTGTTTTTGTTTTTTTAGAACCTATATTACAGATCTAAAACATAGGAATGAGCAGGACTTGCCATGAAGAAGGTAACCCGGAGGAATTCAGTGTAACCAGGGAATTTCCTCTTCACCCCCAAGCCTCAGTGGGCCACTGGTCATTTTCTCATAACACATGTGATCTGGAAAAGGCAGACTTGACTGCCCTGTTCTCACGGGCATGGCAGCACTTGATCTCACTAGATAGCTAACACCTGAGGGCACTAGTTTGCCAGGGCTACTAGCCCTTCCCTTTTTTAATCCTGAATTGAGTTGAAAATGCCTTCAGCTGCTTGTCAGTTGCCATAAAGTGAAAACAACTTTGGTTGGTTGGGTTAGGTACCAAATACAAACCAAATCCCCAGACAAGACGTTGCCCCTACTAGGCACCAAGCACATGGGGAAATTTCTCACCTCTTCTAAAGCCAAAGAACTGCCTTCTGAAGGCAGCTCTTAATGGAAAATTCTAGAATCTGTGAGATCAAATAACCAGGGGTAAGAAAACGATGACGTCAGCCGTACAAATGGACGTTTCAAGCATTGAGGACCATTTGTGCTGAATTCGGGTAGACTTGTTCCTTACAGAGGATGGGCTGTCTTAACTGATTTTATGAATGACTTTCAATGAATCATCAATATACACCCATAGGATGTTAAAGAGATCACCTTAATTTGTCACAAAACGTTTCTGAGGTTCTTAATTCCTGACACACCCTCAGTAAAGCGCCTGTGACTTTATCAGTCAGGTAAACAACAAACCCAAAGGAAAAGCTATTTTCATACAGATTTTTTTGCCCTGGCAGGTGCCGGATAGGAGCTTCTTAATGAGACTGGTTCTGCATAAATTATTTGGCCATGTGTGGCCTCTAGGTAACTGTTGTTATTAAAACTGGACATGGCTGGCATTTTTAAAAAGATACAGCAGCCACTGTTTACCTTGCGTCCGAGAAGGAGACAAGACTCACATCCAAGAATTGACTCTTTAAAAGCCTGGTCACTCTACAGATGGCCCTGCGGGTTTTTTTTGTTTTTTTTCCTTCATTTTTTAAGAAAAAGTTGCCCCCTTCTGTATAGGGGGCACAGCCAGTCTGCACAACAGACGAGACATTTAAAGCAGGTCCTCTCTTCTCTGTTTTTCTTTCTGGAAAGAGGAAGCGACATCCCCAGCTGCTTGCTTTGTAAGGAAGCCATAGGTAATCTCCGAGGGATGTTAAATTTAGCCTGTGAAAATGACATACAGGGGAATTCTTCGTGTGAGCCTTGATCACTTTATTTTTATCTCGTCCGACTGAGATTTTTTTTTTTTCTTTTTCCTCACTGCGGTATTGCAACAAAAGCGTGTCCTCCTAAACAAGGAGTTCCCTGAGATGGTGACATCCGTCCGTCTGAGGGTGTTCTGGGCTGTGGGACCTGGCCTCTTGGCTGCTCTAAATGTGTGCTTTGTTAGAGCTAGGCTGCGCTCAGAAATTGGCCTTCACTTACCCGCGGGCTGCCGTGCCGACTGCATTTCTAGAGTAACATGTAATATTAATTTGACCTTCAGAAATCCAGAGGTCGAACGTGGATTTTTCTGACTCTGAGCTAGCTCTCTTCCTTACATTTAGTGCAAGGGAAAAAAACAACAAAAAAACACACACCATTAACACTGGTTCAGCCAAGCTCTTCCGTTACAAAATCGCAGAGAAGGGGGTTTAGCCGTCCTACCCACCCATCCTACCTTGCAGGAGGAATGCCTACTATTTGTGAAGACGAGGTTTTGTTATTTTGTGGGTATTGGGGTACTTGGTACTTTTTAGAAAATGGGGGTCTGCCTCATAGTCCAATATGGTGGTGGGAGGAGACCATCACTGACAAAAAACACATTAAATGGGATTCCCCAAGTGCAAGGAGAGACATCATTAATTCTGCACCAAGAACTCACTGGCCACCATTCCTTTCCCACCCAGTCACGTGCCCCTCTGGTTCTGATGACACATCTTGTAAAGAGTTAGGAGCCCGGTACATGGCCCTGGCCTCTAAAGACCAGTACAGTGAATCACTGCCGTAACTCCCTAAAGCGTGTACGTTTACTGGAAGCTGGAGAAAATAATTATCTGTCCCTCTGTATCCGACCAGTCTCCAGAGGTCTCCGTTAATACCGCAGCAGAGGTGCACGGGATTTCCCTCTACGGCTCTTAGACTCAGGAGACAGAGTCCCATTTAGCCAGAAAGGCGACCTAAGGGTTAGCGGGAGGGCGGTGGCGGCGCGGGTTGTTGCCACATGCTTAGGAAGGTAGAGAGGCTGTGGGGTTTTTTATTTTCATTTTATTTTTGGAAATGACGGTGCCTTGCAGATAGGTGAGCTTTCAATCTCTCTTTAAAAGGGGCGGCGAAGAGGACCCGCAGGCTGCAAGGAGCAACAGCGATGGGTAGGCACATTCAAAAAAAGAAAAAAAATTGTTTAATCCAACAAAACAAACATGAAGATCATACTGGGAGTCCAAGGGCAGGGATCTTAGGCAGGCATAATCACTAAGTGACACAACAACCCCATGGAATGATCTGTTTTTACATGACACACAAATCTCACTTTTTGGAGCAAGTGTAAAATATGGTTTATTTTTTTGGCCATGCTTGCAGAATACGTAGACCCTGGTGGAGGGGGGTACATTTCAGATTTCAAGCGTTAGACTTACCAGTTTAGAGTTACGTGGGTTGATGTTAAAACCATATTATTTTTCTGTCCCTGTCCCCAGTCTCCCGTTTATCTTTTGAATCAGCTACTCTAAAGCTATCTTGTCAATTCCATCAACCTAGTGGTTGGTCTGATTTTAAAATCTCAGACCCCCTTTGAGATCAATTTTCACCTGCTATTAAATTCTACAGTGCCTTGCAGCTCTGTATTTGGGAGGGTATAAGAACACCTTGGTACCTTGAAGGACATGGATTTTAAGACATCTCTCCAAAAGCCTTGGTTCTTTTAAAACACATTGATTTTTATCCAAGGCATCGTTAGCTAGTGGACAAGGAGATGAGCAGAGCAGTGGCCTCCCTGACTTGCTCCCCACCTCAATTCCGCATCCTCTTGTTTTCTTTCACTTCCTGCATACACACAGACACACACACGCACGCACGCATGCACGCACGCATGCTAGGCAGTCCAGCTTGCAGATTCAGCATGCACTTGATGGGGCAGCTATTCATGAAAATGAAATACAAGGAGCCAATGGCCCTAGCCTAGATCAATTCCCAGAGCTGCTTTGGCTAGGGAAGGGAGGGGCAAACAATGTTGGGGTTGGGACGAAGTAACTGACACGTGTCTGTTCATCTGTTTCTTTTAGAGACCATTATTTCTAGATGATGGCTACACTGTCTCACCCAGCTATGTCCGATCACAATTTGCATGCTGGAATTGCTCCATCCTTAGGAACTTCTATTAAGAATACAATTCTGTTGTGTGTGTGTGTGGCGGGGAGGGGGATGGATGGGGCCCAGCCACCTGAGCTTTTGTGATAACTGGATCGGGCAATCCCAAAAAAAAAAAAAAAAAAAGTGATTTGAGATCTTTGATTGACAACACTATGTAACCACAATCCCAGATGCAGTCACCTGCATAAAATGGCAGTGGTCAAAGGCTACTGTACCACAAGTTGGCTTTTTGAGACAGTTAGACATTCTGTACTGAGCAGCCTGCTGTGTCCTCGATGTTGTGCCCACCTACCCAAACCCACTAATAATAACCCTGCTTGCAAACTCTTTCCCAGCTCTGTTCTCCAGCTAAATATTCAGTATTAGCAGCTTAACAAGATCAATAAAAACTCTGCATGTCTCAGCATTCCCTGTATCTTGCGTCTGTCTTCTGTCTTTTATCTGTCTTTCTCTTCCTACAAAAGCACAGAGATGAACCGTAGAGCCCACAAAACCCACATCACCTTTCCCAGATGCTTAGTAGATGATGGGCTTGAGGGTTGAGCACTTAAAACATGACCCCACTAATTTGCAAATACATGGAGGCGAGAATTGGGGGGGGGGAAGTAGAGTAGCTTATAAGCTCGAAAAACCAGCCCCCAGGTTTTGTTTTTAAGGCATTCCGAATTCTAGCCATTGATGTATACTTTGTTTTTGTTAAATAGTTTCGAGACACGAAGACATTTGCTCTGAATTTCACAACTTGATCTTAAATTGATTAAGCCATAGTAAAAATGATGATAAACCTGCCAGCCCCGGTATATTATCCCCATCTACACAGTAATTGCTTCAATGGAAGAATTTTATGTTTTAGTATTACACACCCGAATTAGATTCCAGACTTCTATTTTTGAGCTTGAGGTACTCCCACACCTATTCAGATACATAGAGGAATACAGAACACGTTCTCAAAATATCCATATTTAAGGCTGGAAGTTTTCCAATGATCACACTACTACTTAGACCAAAATATCAGACGGAGTGAGGAAACATCGTTTGTAGTAACACTTTGCCCCCGGCTCTGTCAAGATGTGGGCATTTTGCGCCTGTGTGGGGGCCACATCCTGATTTTACTGCTGAGGGACCTTTTCACACCAGAAGTTAATGGATTACATTCCCCAGGAAATGGAACCTGTGTTTAATGAATGGGAATGGATTTGGCCCTGGGGCTTTAGGTAAACTCCTATTCATCCAGTGAACTTGAGGGACCACCTGACACCTGTCTTTTTTAATCTTCAAGTCTGAATCACTGATCTTAGACTTTTAACCCCCTTCTGAAGATCAGTTTTTTGATCAGTTTGTACAGGGTACAGCAAGCCCATGGAGAGGGACTCCCTCAGTCTGCTTAAAATCAAGACAGTTGCCTGGTGGGTCTGGGGGCCAGAGATGAGCTTTGGTGTATGTGGAAATGCCACACCCCAATTGCAGGCAAACACCTCCTTACCCTTTTTGTCTCTAGACAGGGCACTTTATGTAAGTGGTCATGGTACCTGCCCCCTACTTTTTCTTCCCCCCCCCCCCCCCCCCATGTACCTTCTGAGGAAGGTAACTTCTGAACCCCACCTCATCCCTCATTCCAGGAAAGGAAGACCATCCTCTTAGGCTGGACCCTAGGAAAAGGAGGAAGGGTAGGGTCTTTGAGCAAGTTCCACCCCTTAACAGTCTGCCTAATGTTCTGAGAATCAGGCACTAACCCCTCATCATTGACCCATTGTGGGGACACTGCTCTCTGACCCCCTGTGTCTCCACACTAACGTCTGTCATTTCTAAGGCTAACTGGGTGCAGTGATCAGTGGGTGCTTCAGATCTTGTGAATCACAGATGTAAAAGCAAAGTAACAGCAAACAAATCAACTCTACCCTCCCCATCTCTGCCTCTGAGGTGACACTTCATCTCTGTGCCTCCATGTCCCCCCTCTACTGTCCAGCTCCCCAGGCCTAATACATCGGAGGTGTCTGGCACAGTGGAAGTCACAAGATACAGACCCCCCAAACCAAAGGATCTCTCTTGACCCCTTCAAACACTTCAGAGTTCTTCCTGGCCTTGTGCCCTGAAAGCCACATTGTCAGTACCCAGGTTAATATAGTCTCTGACCCAAATTCACATGGGATTAGGGGGTCCCAGAAATTAAAGGGTATGGCCTTCACTCGAATCAGTGACTTAATGATCATTTGCTCCCTGTTAAACACATGAGCCTTCCTGTACCCCCAATTTAAACCACAATTAACGAAATCTTCAACATCTACCTCACAGGCCCCCCCCCCTTTCTCTCCCTGGGCCCCACTAAAGCCTGAGGTCCAGACCCCAAAGGTTTCTGGGGACAGACTCAGTTTACCCTCCTTCACACTGAGGGCACAGTCCACATGAAGATCACCAACAAGCAGTGTTAGGGTTTTGCTCATCTGCAGAGCCCAGAACAGCGCCCACCTGTGCAGTCCAAACGACACTGCTGTTGCAATGGAGATCGCTTCGTTAAGTAGTTCTTCAACATCAGCCACACCTGCATTTACTCGTTCTCCTACCTGAAACTCTTCCCCCGCCCAGTGACCCCTGACCCGTCCCCCACCCCAAACATACGAGGCATCAGTAAGGGCTCACAGAAACCTTTTAGGGAATGTTGCTTATGTATTGTGGAGTTTCAAACAAATGGAACCACATTTGGAAAGACTACAATAAACCAAGTCCAACTTATGGTACAGTAACGGATTCATGGTCTCATTGCCAATTAGCCAGCCTTCCCTCCCCACCCCCCAAGTTGGGCGTGCCTCCAGGACACGTTGGGGTGGTTGGGGGGGGGGGAGCCGTTTCAAGCTGTCTTTATGCAGGTGCCTCCACCACACACCTCTTGAACAGAATACTGTGCTTTCCATTGGTGTATCTTGACTGATGAGACCCTTTGTTTCAATGGGGTGCAATATGAGTTTCTCTTCTTTTTAATCCCGCTGTAGTGAGAAGGCCACCAAAGTGCAGGACATCAAAAACAACCTGAAAGAGGCCATTGAAGTATGTGCTCCGCTCTCTCCTTTTATTGTGTAACCTCCTCTTCAGACGGGTTCTCTTGCTGACTCTTTACTCAATCATTTTCAGACCATCGTGGCTGCCATGAGCAACCTGGTCCCTCCAGTGGAACTGGCCAACCCTGAGAACCAGTTCAGAGTGGACTACATTCTCAGCGTGATGAACGTGCCGGACTTTGATTTCCCTCCCGTAAGCTAAGACCTTGCATTTGGTTACCTGAGCCCCACTCACCTGATGCACGTAGCAGGTAGACACACAGGTGATGTAGGAGCTGGGCCAGAGCCCTGCTCACCAGTCACTTTTGTGTCATGTGGGACCATCAGTGACATTTACACATGTGTCCAAACCACATGAATGCATAGGAAAGGTTTAGTTCCATACTCTGGGTGTTTACGACGTGAATCATTAGACCGATCCATGAGAGGTGAGCAAAATCCTATTACTACTTGTAAATCCTAGCTCACCCATCCCAAGTCAGCATCTCACTTCAGTGCCACAGTTCTCACTTTATTAGATGGTAAATTTTTTTATGACAGGAGAAAAACATGAGCTGAGGTGGGCTTAATTAATCCCCATCGTGCCACCACGGTGAACACGGCGCCTTTAATGAGATCTAGGTGAAGGACCAGTTCTGAGATTCCTAGATGGGAGACAGTCTTCTTCCTAACAAATTACCTACCAACAAGTAATTGTAATTGTAATTGTAAGCTCTCAACTCCATAGTAACTCACAAGGTAAGCTGTAGGAATGGAACGTGGAGGGAACGCTGCTGCTCTGCACCCTCAGGCTGCTGAGCATGACGTGGTTTACAGTGATTATCTGCTGCATAAAAACTTGAGGAACATAAACTATGTCCATGTTCGAGAATATATGTTTTGGCCCCTTCATGGGGGACAATAGTTTATAAGAATACTGGGAAATAAGATGTAAAGTTGTTCGCCTTTACAAGGCCCCAGAGGAAGAGACTTGTCTGCAGCGAAAACAATGAGTTATTGTTGCCTTTTGTTCAACTTTCGTGGGAATTTGCCCATTTTCAATGAGTTTGGCTGCAACAGTGGGCACGAAAACTGCTGTGCCCCCTAGTAGATGAGTAGGTACACATTTACCAGCATTTGTGTGGGGAAGCTTTAGCAGTAACCCCGGTGTGCAGCCTAATGACTTTGGATGAGCTCTGATCCCGTATTCAGAATAGAAGAGAAAATGGCAGTCTGTTGAAAACGCACCTGAATAGTAATTACCTTTTGTCAGTTTTACCAAAATTCGAGCTTTATGTCCCAAGCTACTTAGAATTTCTACCCCCAAAACTTCTTTTAACCTTGCTGGTATTGATTCATTATTGCCAAGCAAAACTGAGACCAGTACATGTAAACCTACATGTCTTATTACAGAGACCCAGACCCTTGTGGACAGAAATGCATGCATGTCCCAACATTTACACCACAGAATGGCAGAAATTAGCATTTCCCTGAGAATGTCCCCTTCCATTTTGCATCATTTTTTGTCGTACTGCTGAATTCACACTGGAGAAAAACCTCTTTCCTCCCTTCCTTTGGAAGAGAAGATTGTCCCCACATAGAATGTTTTAAATATGTTTATGCCATCTCTTGTTGTCATCTGAAACAACTTGGATGCCAGTGGTGACTTTGTCTCTTCCTTTGGCCACCCTTGTCTAAAGGGCAGACGCACAGAACTGCCAGCAATTCCCCATCAGATTTTCTGGTAAAATTCAGAATTTCCTAGAAGGACATCTTTGTCCCAGAACATCTTAGCAAACGAAGTCTCTTGTCTTCTCAGCACTGAATCACCCATTGACGTGTCCTCCTAACACAGACTAGTGTGTGCTTCCGACGCAGACAATTCTGTGAAGATGCAGAATTGTTCTGGAGTTTACTGCCCCCTCCCTCAGTAAAGTGCAGAGAACGAAACCCACCCAAACCCAATAGTTCATAGTAATAGTACCTTTCATCTGTTTGGCCCCCACTTTAATGTCAGAGTGAGTATCGATCACATCATGGGATCCATTCACAGAGTCCCCGTGGATGTGATGTGAGTACCCATGTTTCTTTAATGTCCTGTCTTTGTCCCTTTCAGGAATTCTACGAGCATGCCAAAGCTCTCTGGGAGGATGAAGGGGTGCGTGCCTGCTACGAACGTGCCAATGAGTACCAGCTCATCGATTGTGCTCAGTAGTAAGTCCCCCCGTCCCCCCAACCCCCCCGTTTCCCCCCCCCCCAACTTCCCCAGCAGGCCCACAGAGCAGAAATGGTGCCAAAGACTGACTCCCTCCACACTTGGCTTTTCAAGTTATTTGCAAATGAGTTCTGTCTTCATAGAAGCCAACCAGTTTTTCCCACCTGCAGTTAGAAAGTTCTAGTCTGATTCATTTGTTTTATAAAGCCCATAATTGCACTTTTTAGTGCAGTGGCAGTAGTTTTTATATAAACAATTAATGCCTGTTAGAGTAAAAGGATAATTACTTGCAGTAAAGTCCCATTCATAATTAATTAGCCTGAAGGAATTAATTGCATTGACCTCCAAACTTTCAGTGAGGATTGGGCCACTCTTATCACACATGAGGTAGCGTAAAAATGATTAGTTTCCATTGCTGTCGTTGGTAAACAACGTAGAGGAACAGTGAGGACAAAACTCGGCCCCTCTCTTTTGTCACTAATTGTAGTTTCTGCTGTCAGGTGAGTGTCTGGCTTCCTTAGTGCAGAGTTACTAGATGGTGTTCATCTGGACAGAGTTGGGCTTTGTGTTCTCTGGACTTTTGAACCCTGTCTCGTAGGCTTCTTTGTTCATTCACACCAGGCGTCACTTCAGGGTTGGTAAGTGGTCGTGAACTCTGAATGCCACCAATGACCCTCTGAAAGGTTTTGTGGAGAACTTGAAGGCCTCCTAGAAAGTTTACAGATTTATGTAGGGAGCATGAGTCTGCCCTGGGAACAACCCTCTTGGATGAGCAGGCAGGTCGAGATTAGTCTTCTTCCCAGGAGGAGTAAAAAATCAAGAAGATGATACTTAGATAATCACACAAACCCACTGACTTTCCGAGTGTGGTCACGCCTCATGTTTTCTGGAAAGAAAACAGGAGCTTTTGAGCATCTTTCTTCTTAGGCCCCCTCCCCCGACAATCAATCTCTCATCTTTTCCAACACCTAGCCCAGTGTGAGCTGATTTAAGTTGATGAGTTTATCACTTTAAATGGCTCAAATATCCATCCTGCTATTGTCTGCAGAGCCCATTACAGAGGTGGGCACACCTGGCCCGGCCCTTCTGCATATCCCTCTTCCACCAAGCTTTCGACTTCTGCCCTTCCCCCCTTTAAGAGTCATCTTCCTTGTGACCCCTGAGCTGCAGATTAGTCCTAGGTGAAACGTGTTCAAGCACTGGCCCCTTGTAGCATCCACATTCAGAAAGAAGATGAATGAGAGGGTCTTTGGGTGGAAGAGGAGGGACGTTGGAAAGCAGATTTTATGGTGACCTCTGTTTGATGCTGGCACTGCTCTGTCTAAAACACCCCACTTCCTTCCCCACGGGACCCTTCCCTTCTCCTGGTCCCATTTGCTGTCCCCAGCCCCCTTCCCGTCTTTTCCACTGGATGCAGACCACACATCTGGAAAGTTACCTTTTAAATGTTTTACGACCCTTCTCATCCTGTCTACGACATGGCAAGCATATGGTGGTCAGGATTATAAAAGCCGTAAAAAAGCATCGTCGGCTGCTGCTATAGCTGCACATAAAATATGGAAATATCTCAGACACATAGGTGTAGGGGTGGCTTCTGTGATTTGGGAGACGGGGACAAGCAGGGATCAGTGATGTTTCAGCTGCTTCGGTAAGTAGGAAGAATTATCTAATTAGGACCAAGACACCAGACTGACATGCAGGAGTGACTTAGTTCCCCCAAGCCTGAAGACCGACCTTTGGGTGAAAATCAGTTGACTAATAAGTCAAGGGAGGAGGAAAGAGTCAATTAGCAAACAAAACCTGGAGTTCTCTTAACTGTCTCCCAGTTTTTGTCAGGGTCTGTGCAATGATCCATTTATCTTTTCCCTAGTTGACCTTTCCCCTTGGAAGATCATCTGCAACTCTCCATTGGTTACATACATAGAGATTCCAGGGTTTAACCCGCAAGTACATTTATATGGTTTTGGGGGTGGGGGTCCATCTTGGCCTATCTGTGTGATACCCCCCCACCCCCCACACACTCACCCCCACCCCTTCTTCCACAAAGTCCCAGATTTTCTACGGAGTTTGAACTAAAAGCTGGAAGCGCTAATTATAGTAACGCAAAACAAATGGAAATCCTGGAATTGTTTGTGTTTTGTGTGTTGGATCCAAGTCAGAAGTTAAGAACAGGTACAAGATTAGGAAGGGCCAGCCATTCCAGTTTTGAATGCTGGGGTAGTAGTTGCAGATGATGTTCAATCTTCAGAGAGTTGTAGAGCCAGGGTTTGGGGTTTGGTTTTGTATTTTTTTATCCTCACACCATTGAAAAGTTTTTCAAAGCAACAATACATGACTTCCCCCTCTCCCCTACCCGCCCTTTATCTTAACCACGGCGACATTTGCACAGATTGTGGAAAGTTTTAAGGAAACTCTAAAAAGAGAGAGAGGGAGAACAAGGCGGTTCAAAAGTTTTAAAATGTCTCCCCGGCTGGATGGTTGTAACAGCCCATTGTATACAGTGACCAGTCCCTCAGGGTGGAGCTGCCTTCCTGGTAAAGGTGAGGTCCTGGTACCTGGCTGGTGTCTTTAGCTGCCTGTTTTTATTTGTGGAGCTGGGGTTTGGCTGGCCCCACTCCAGATGTCTCTCTCACAAGATTTGGTGCTGATGGTCTATTTATAGAACTGTGGTTCTGTTGTCAGGGCGACCGAGTTGCAGGCCCGGGCGGCTGGGGAGCTATTTCTGGCCGGGTGCTGTAATGTAAGACCGATTGGGCAAGTTCGTGTATCCTCTAAGCCAGAGTAACTCTGAACTGGCGAAAAGGAAGGAGTCGGAGGGGGGGGGACACGACAAAAAACTTATAGTTTCTTTAAATAGACTTTTCTCCCTTTGGAAGAAAATCTCTTTTTTATAATTAGCCAACTTTTAAAACAATCCCACCCACCCACCTCACCCTAGAGAAAAATGAGTTCTGCGATCAGTTTTCCAAAGTCATGAAACTACCCCAGTCTTTAAAAGGTGAACTTTCCTGACTATGTCTAGTCAAGCCACGAAAAAGAGCATTGTTTTTTTTCTGCTTCAAGAAAAGTGCCTGCCGTAGAGGAAATGGTTTTCCTCCAAGAGCGATGGGTGAGCTTACAGTTTAGTCACCCCCTCTGCTCCGTGTCCGTGTAACCACACCGCTGTGAGGTGTCTGGTGGTTTTGTTTTTGTTTCTTATTCATTTAAAGTTTACTATCTGGAGTAGCTAAAAACCGCCTCATTTGCGTTAGTACTTGGGGGTTGGAGGAGTTGTTTCCATTTAAGTGAACCCCTTCTCCATTGCCCCCTATAAAACAAGAATGACGTCGGAGATGTATACCTTGCCATTTTTGCCAAAGCCAAACAATTTTTTTTTTTTTAATTAAAATGGTCAATCATTAATCAAAGGGCACTAAAATCTGATAGGCCTGCCTTAGGCCTTCTGCTGGTTGGATGCACAAAACCAACTTTTCCAGTTGAGGACAAGTCTGCGCATAGCCCCCCATGATGGTTGAGCCATCCCAAGAGCTGATAGAATGTTGTGTAGACATCTCGAGTCTCCTGATTCCTAGATGCTGTTTTCAAATTCCTACAACCCTTTTTCCTCCTCCTCCCTCCTTTTTAAATCTCAGTTTGAAGTACCGTATTCATCAAATGCATTCTTAGACTTGTTTATCTTAAAATTCTGTTTGCTGCATAAGCTTTGGGGCATACATGTTGACCCAAGCCAAGTCCCCCTTGACTTAATTCTCCATCACTGGGGACAATCACCTTTGTTCAGCATGTCTTTGTAGAGACACAAGTAGTTGGCAGATTAATGTAAACACCCACGTTTCTTCTCCTACCAGCTTCCTGGACAAAATCGATGTCATCAAGCAGGCCGACTACGTGCCAAGTGACCAGGTACAGGAACCTCTTTACAACCCAAAAAGAACTTGAGGTTCTTTGTGTTTTTTGCCCAAGACGGCAGTTTCGACATCTCTTAAGTGTAAATTTCCCTTTAGGATCTGCTTCGTTGCCGCGTCCTGACTTCTGGAATCTTTGAGACCAAGTTCCAGGTGGACAAGGTCAACTTCCAGTGAGTGAATATTTAAAAAACTGAGTTTTCTGTTCCTTGATGTTGTCTCTGACTGGTAGAGTGATGAACCAGTGGTCAGCCCTTTGAGATGACCAAGTGTTGTCCCTCTCCTCCAGCATGTTCGATGTGGGCGGCCAGCGTGATGAACGCCGCAAGTGGATCCAATGCTTCAATGGTACGGAAACTTCTCCTTTAAGGGCATTTTGCTCTTCTCCATTTCACCCTCTCTGCTATCTTCTCACATTCATTGCTTCTTTGTCTCCTTGTGGCTAAGATGTGACTGCCATCATCTTCGTGGTGGCCAGCAGCAGCTACAACATGGTCATCCGGGAGGACAATCAGACCAACCGTCTGCAGGAGGCTCTGAACCTCTTCAAGAGCATCTGGAACAACAGGTCTGTAGGGTGGTCCCGGTTACCCCCTTGAGCGAACCCAATTTAGCCCTGCTCCTGGCCTTGCGGCTCCGCTCGTGGGCTGTGGTGTGAGCATTTCGGGCTCCCTGCATGAAAGGCATGCTCTCTCTTCTCCAGAGAGTAAACTTTGCTTCCTCCCTTTTCAGATGGCTGCGCACCATCTCTGTGATTCTGTTCCTCAACAAGCAAGACCTGCTCGCTGAGAAAGTCCTGGCTGGGAAATCCAAGATTGAGGACTACTTTCCAGAATTTGCTCGCTACACTACTCCCGAGGATGGTACGTATGTAGTGGATCAGAGCACGTTTAAGTTTAGCAGTTCGAGCCGTAGACTTTATGTTCTTGGTCGTTGCATAGCTGAGGGGAGAAGAAAGGCCAAACCTATTTCCCCCAGTGACCACTTGAAGACAGCAGAGTTAGAGAAGTTAAGTGACATTCACACCTTAGCTCGGCTCTTCTCTCCTGTAGTAGTAATGTGAAATAATGAAATATTTTCCTCATAGCTACTCCTGAGCCCGGAGAGGACCCACGCGTGACCCGGGCCAAGTACTTCATCCGCGACGAATTTCTGGTGAGTCCCGCCCACCTGCAGAACCTTCTTTTTATCTTTCTTATGGGTGTAAATGGAATTCATTCTAAGGTTGAGGACTAAGCCAGCGAGTTCTTGAGTTCTTTTTCCCCGAACACCTCACATGAAGCCCATTTATCTGGCTTTGTTTTTTAATGGGACTTTAAGAGCTGGTCTTCAGCTGCCCTTGGTAGATGTCCACACTGCCGGCAGGGACCTTCGTGCAGTGTGTCACTGGTGTCCCCTCTGTCTGTGTCCACAGAGAATCAGCACTGCCAGCGGAGATGGGCGCCATTACTGCTACCCCCACTTCACTTGCGCTGTGGACACCGAGAACATTCGCCGCGTGTTCAACGACTGCCGTGACATCATCCAGCGCATGCATCTTCGTCAGTACGAGCTGCTGTAAGAAGGGAACCTGAGGTTTAATTAAAGCCTTAAGCACAATTAATTACAAGTAACGCATAATTCTACAAGCAGTTAACCACCCACCATAGGGCATGGTTAGCAAAGCAAACTTTCCCTTCCCCCGAGTGATTTTGCGAAACCCCTCTTTCCTTTTCAGCTTGCTTAAATGTTCCAAATTTAGAAAGCTTAAGGCAGGCCTACAAAAAAAAAAAATTAAAAAAGGCCACAAAAGTTCCCTCTTACTTTCAATAAATAAAATAAAAGCAGCAAACATAAATAAATGAAATAAATATTGTTTTGTGCAGCATTAAAAAAATCATAATAAAAAATTAAATGTGGGCAAAAGATCTGACTCTCGTGAATTATTTGCGACTTCCCGCAAACTCCCATTATCCGTGATTTTAACTTGGTTCTTACTCACTGCCTCAGAAAGATGGAAGGCCCCAGGCCTCAAAGTTGCGTGTAAAATCTTGCCAACCTATGCTTTTGTTGACATCCTCTTTTGGATTTCTTAACAATTTACAAATAGAAAAATCCACCCTTTGTTCTTCCTCCCAGTTCTTTACCCCAGAGTAAACCACTATACCCCAGTCAAAGAATTCTACATTTTGATAGTTGCTGCCCTATCCAATAGCTCTTTCATTAATTACCACACTGAACTCTCGGTTGTGTGTCTGCCTTAGTAATACATTGCATTTCAAATCATGATGCAAATGGTGTTGAAACAACTCACTAACCATTCGGGAAATTTTCAAGTTTGATCCCTACCTCATTCCATACACCAAAATGAATTCAGTATGGACCAGTCACATTAAAAATTTAAAAGTCCTTGAAAACTAGTGGTTATCATTACAATTACAGTCTTGATTTACAGAAAGTCTAAAATGATCCAAAAGCCATAAAGGTCTACACTTTGGGAAATGACTACGAAAGTTAAAAGCACGTTAAAAAAAAAAAACTGTGAAGATGAAAAGTATAACAAATGGTGATTCCCACAACAAAGCTGAAGTATTGAAAAAAGAATCTGAAAAATGGGCAAAATGTATGAACATATGTTTTACTAAAAAACAACAAAATAGCCAATAAGCATCTGGGGAAATGGGGAACCTCACACAATGAAAAAAAAAAAAAAAAGATTAAAGCAAACGTTTTAACCATTAGGGGTGGAGCAATGGGTGACATCCAGCGCATGCCATCAGATGGGAGGCCCCAGTTAGAACACAGGACAGACGTGATGTCTGATCAGGCCCCCGGTGGTGTCCCTACTGTGTGAAGACACCAGCTTGCCTCCAGCTCGACATGGTGTTCGAGTCGGTTTCAACTCAGTGACCTTATATAGGGTTTCCAAGGAGCGGCTGATGAGCTTGAACCGGTGACCTTGTGGTTGAAACCAACCTCGCGGTCTAGTGCTTTACCCCCACAGTGCCACACTAGGACTCCTGTGCCCTCAGAAAAGGGAGTTGGAGGTGGGGGTTGGAAATTTTGAGTCCACAAATTCTAATGAGTCTTAAAAGCATCCCAAATAAGCAACTATAATATACAAACTATGTAAAAATTAGACAACTACAATACCAACTCACCATATACCAATCCAAGTCACCTGTGGCCTGGAAAATGCCTGTCCTACGTAGACATTCTGGAACCTCCATGTGTCCAACAGAATCAGAACAGATTCCTGGGTCATGAAGTAGCTATCCCAAGAAAAAAATGAATGCCACAGCCCCTCACTTAGGCTGCTTGAAGCCCACATAGGTTTTGTGTTGTTTTAGAGAAAGCTAGACCTCACAGTTACCCAGCTGACTGGAAAGTCAGTTTGAGCCACAAGGTTGGTAGTTCAAGCTCACCAGCCGCTGCTTGGATACCCTATACTGGGTCGCTATGAGTCAACCGACTTGATGGCACTTAATAACAACTGGATCCCTACTTCATGCCATATACCAAAATGCGTTCAATATGCCTTTCATGCAACGTGCTCTCACAATACCCCAGTGAGCTAGGCCCTGCCATTCTGCCATCATACCTGTGTTCTGCCATTTTGCCAAGGAGTGAACAGAGGGTTAGGCCGGAATGCCTTGCCCAATGGACATTAGAGGGAAGATGGGCATCAAATCCAGGTAGCTGAAGTCTACTCTTGACCACTACACACTCTGTCCCTCAGAACGATCTAGAAAATAAGAGGCAAGTCTCCTAAGAGACTCCTGGACACCAGTTACCAGCAGCCCATGACCTATGACCCTACATGGCACCATGGGATTTATGTGTCTGAGGGTGTTGGTGGCTAGGGAGTTCTCTCCGTATGTTGGAACCACTCACCTGCCAACTTAAACACTTGTCGATGTGGCACCTGTGCACATTTGTTTTCAGTTTTGTTTCTCTTCCTTAGGACTAGCCGTTTTTTAAGACCTTTTCATTTCCACTTTCCCTAAACAAAACTTTTATGGTGTTAAAGTGCCACCAACTTGGTTCCTATTCATGGTAGTCCTGATGTGCCACTGTGGGTTACTGCACTGGGCTGCAAAGTTAGTTTGAACCGCAGGTTGGTGGTTCAAGCCCACCAGCTGCTCCTTGGGAGACCCTATACAGGGTCACTGTGGGTCAGAATCAACTTGGCAGTTCTAAACAACTTTTATGTTGTTGGCTGTTAGTGCCATCAAGTTAATTCCTATTCATAGCCACCCTGTATAGAGTTTCAGAGGAGCAGGTGGTGGGTTTGAACCGCCGACCTTTGTGGTTCGTGGCCAGTGCTGATCCTCCAGGGCCACAGCAGGAGTCCTAACTTTTATAGGACTATTTAAAAATATGAATTCTACGATCTTAGGAAAACGCCCAAATGATGGAGAATTTCACATAAACCTTTGAGTACAAGAAACTTTCTTTTCTTTAGAATTTTAGATGAATTTAAAATCTATTCAAATGGGAAACAACTTATTTCTAAAGGTAACAATTTGCACTACATTTTATAAGGTGTATAGGTTAGATATTATAAACAACTTCTCATCTACCTTCAAGAAACGGAAATAGAAATAACCCACTAGGACCCACCTCACTGTATGAGGAGGGGCTTGAAGGGGAACGAATTTGTGTACAAATGCTTAGATTTAAATGTGGGCAGATAATACCAAAAGGAATGGCCACATCTGCACAGCCATCCTTCATCGATGGTGGTCTTATTGTCTTATTGAAACGATTTCTTGGACTGATGAGGTCATCTTTTCATTTAACAAATCTCTGCTGGCCACTAGCTGTTCTGCTCACGCGGAGTTCATGCCCTAGAGGGGGAGAACATACTGACCAAATAGATAATCAAGAGCATTATCAACAGTGAAAAGGTCTTTGAGACAATCAACACTATAAGGGTGATGGGAATGGGAGGCGATAGGGGAAGGAGCCCACTGTCCATAGGCTAGCTGGGAAGGGCCCTCGGAGGGGGTAACCATTCCTCTGAAGATGCCAAAGGATGGAACAAAGTTAGTCGCTCAGTTATTAATAGCTTCCGCCACTATTGCAGATTATTAGTCCTTATTATGATATAATAGCCAACATTTATAGAGTACCGTGGTATGTGCTGGGCACTCTCCTAGGTTCTTAGCACAGATTGTCTCATCGAATCCTTTCGAAACCCTCAACAGTAGGAGCTAGTCTTTACCATGGTACAGATAGTAGTTCAAAGGTGAAAAAGGTAGATACTGTGAATAATTTATGAAAAGTATGCTCTCAACAAAGGTTGGGCCAAACAGGCCACTGCAATAAATACTTAATGTGAGAACTTGACACCAGGTTCTGATCTTAAAGTTGTGGGTTTTGTCTCTACGGGGACTTTCTATACGATGCTAAGCTTTTTACACTATGGGCCAAGTCATCAGGAAGGACTAATCTCTAGGAAAGGCCATATGGTTGTTACAGTAGAGGGTCTCTGGAAACGATGGCAACTGTGTTCAAGATGGAGGAAGAAAGAACCTCAACAAGGGGCTCAAACCTACCAAGGGTTACAGAGATGGTGCATGATGGAGCACTCTTACTTTGTCACTTGAAACAACTACCACGACATACTAGGAACAACTAGAGTTATGTGCATTTGCCTATCTTATTTACTTATTTGTCACTATTTAGTTACCCATTAAGGAGCTCTGGTAGCATAGTGGTTACAAATCGGGCTGCGAACCTTAAGGTCAGCAGTTCGAAACTCCCAGCTGTTCGGTGGGAGAAAGATGAGGTTTTCTGCTCCTGTAAAGATTTACAGTCTTGGCAACTCTATACAGGGTCATTATGAGTCAGAACCGACTCCACGGCACATAACCACCACCACCACAAGGTATCCATTAAGAATGTTTAAAGGTAGAAGTTTTGAACCAAAAAAGGGGGAGTAGTTAATCTTACAATCCAGGAACAGAGGACCCTAGGACCATCAAGGGAGAAGAGCACAAGCAGAATGTGGGACCTTATCCAGAGAAGCAGCCACTCCAGAGATGGAGGCAGAGATGGGGACATGGAGAGAGAGAGCAGCTGAGGTCTCTAGACTCATGGAAAGAGAAAGGCTGTGTGCTGGCAGCCAGGAGGCAGACTTGCAGGATGTTTAAATGATTGTTTAACATTTTTGGTTGTTTAAATGATTATATATTTCTAACTTTGTGTACATTCCCCCAAAACAACAAAAAATCACAGAGGGTATAGAAGCAAATACTGTTGAATGATGATGCATGGAGGAGACTGTAGTCATTGCAATGAAACCATGAGTGTAAAACTGATGTTCTCCCATGTAAACTAAAGCTCAATTCACAATAAAAACATTTTAAAAAGAGAAAAGAATGTGTTCAGCTTTAAACAACAGAAACCTAACAATCAGGCAGAGACAGGTTTCTATCTCACTTAACAAGAATCCAGAGTCACAGCGTTCCTGTTGTGACTTTGTTGTTGTTGAATGCTGTTGAGTCCATTCTGACTCATAGCAACCCTGTTATAGGGTTTCCAAGGAGTGACTGGAGAGTTTGAACCACCAATCTTGCCATTGTTATTCCAGTGTGTATCCTACAGTGCCACACCAGGACTACATCTAAATGATCTGGCAGATGTTTCCACAATTATCTTGACTCTTCTCTGGTGGTGGTGGTTATGTGCCGTGGAGTCGGTTCAGACCCATAGTGACCCTGTACAGGATTTCCAAGGCTGTAAATCTTTACGGGAGCAGAAAATCTCACCTTTCTCCCGCAGAACAGCTGGTAGTTTCGAACTCCTCACCTTGAGATTAGCAGCTTGACTCGTAACCACTACACTTCCAGAGCTCATTGGTTCTTCTCTAATGACCACAAAATGGTATCACTTTTTTTCTTTTTTTTCCTTTTTTAGT